ACTTTTTTTTATTCGGTACATTTTTGGTTAAGTAAATACTATCGTGTAAATATTTGAGCCACATAAGTTTTTAGATTGGCCCCTCATTTTTTTTGTCAACCGAGCACCCAAAAATTCTTTAGATATTGATTCCTCAATATATAACTCTATTTCCTCGGTTGCCATAAAATACAGAGGGATAAAGTAACCAAGCAACACACTTCGAATCCTAACAACTATATTTTATGTTTTACTTCTTTTTTATCTCATTTTATTCCTTCAGTTTTCTAACAATCGAGGGGATGTATTGCCCATTTTTTCTGATGAAATATTTAATTTGTTCATTAAGTTTTGCCATAACCTAATATGTTAGCTACCTCTCAAAGTCATAAATATCATTCTCTTAGATGGATATCAAGACGTAAAAATATTTAAGGTTTCTTAAACAATTAGGAAACATTTCAAACTAGGTTGTGTGTATTTCTTGTTGTTATCCTCGTTGTTGATGTTGTTGCTATTATTATTGTTGTTGTTTACAAATCTTAATCAAACATTTTTCTGCTTTTACAATGAATCTGTTGGAATGTCATTATTGTTCTTTTTTTGACTCACAATATTAAGAAATCTATTTCTAATCATATTTAGAAATATAGAAACCAAAAAAGAAAATGGTGGATGATAAAAATCTTAAAGATATATATCTTACAACAAACTATTTTCTTTCTGGGTATGCAATGAAAGTCATTTATTCCCTTTGTTGGTTTGAAAATCAAGGGGAAATGTCATTATTTTATTTCTTAAATAAAGTATTTGATGTCAATAAAAAAAATCTTTGTCATTTATTGATTGAGTATCAACACTCAAGATACGGTCAACACATTAATTCACAAGAAACACTAGTGATTCACGTGAAACCATCACAACTATCATTTAGAATATGAATGCCACACTTTATATCTGAATCACAAACATTCTAAATCACAAACATTATTAATAAGAACATTAGGATTGAAAAAATTGATACCTAAAGGAGCGTGGAAATAGTCTTTGTGATGGATTGCAAGAGCAAAAAAAAATATTTGAATAGGGTTTGTATTCTTTACATAAACTCTTACCTATATACATGATAATTACTTTCCTTATCTATACTTTATTAGTTTTAACACCGAGAGAAAAAGTTGTGTGTTTTCAATAAAATATGAAATTGTTGTTACTGAGATTCGAATCCAAGAGCAATATAATTTTTCACCCGGTGCATCAAAAAACGAAGAGAAAAGTGGAAACTTTTATGACCCCTTTGTTACTATTAGACGATAAGCTACAATCTAGAACAGGTTGAATAGATCGCAATTGAAATTTTCTATTTAAAATTCTGTTTTAAATTATTTAAACTATGGTGCATGGAAACAAATCTGGATTGACAATCATCTATCTAAACTGTTATCGAAAAGACTGGATATGCATTAAATTGATAGAACGAGTTTATGTATGATGAAAAAAACAACCAATATATTTCTGGCAAACCAAGTTTGAATAAACAACACTATAGCAGTCAATTTCCAATGAAATTTTAAATAAAAACTAGTTGAGGCAATTTGTCGAACACTTGACTTGCAATCGACACAAAACAAAATTTTGTATGATTTTAATCGCACAATTAACAAAATAGTTTGAGGTACTAACTAAATAAATTATGTTTGTATATCAATCACATAATCAACGGTTTCATAATTTTCAAGTAAAGTAAAAAGAGAGAGATAGAGAGAGACCCAAGAATTTGTTTAGGCAGTTCCTCAATCGACCTCGCTATGGGTACTTCTACCCCCAATCACATTCAAAATTGAGATGATGAAAATTAACCTTTGAATATTATTATTACAAGTGAACAAGTTGTGATCCAATAGTCCAAATCCTAAGTATGATATTGATCCAATCTTCTTCTCTCCCCTTGATTAGAGCACGTCCAAGTGAACCCGATACTTCCAATTTAATCGTTCGTCTAATGTTACTCCTTTGCAAGAACCTCTGTTCTTCAAAGACTTCACTTGGCTGAATCCAAATTGCAAATGTATCGTGACCCAAGATTTACCAAAGTGATCCTCCGGTTACCATTACTTCTTCGACCGAACTCAATATTCTTCAAAACTTTCACTCGGTTGAATCTAAATGGCATAATCTTGTCAAAAACCTTCAAATCACCAATGACTACTAAAACAAATAACGCTTTTCACGATGAAGCTTTCACCTCACCCAAATAAAAACTATGGTATAATTCCAAAGCGCGTCATCTTTATTTATTTATAAAAATAAAAAACCAATTATTCCCTCGGGTTTTAAAATAACCGAGGAAAAAAATCAGGACATGCTTCGAATCTTAGTCATTGTCGTTTATGTTTTTATTTTTTTTATAAGTGTAAACTAAGTGAACTAATCCTTCAGTTTTTCGATATAACCGAGAGATCAAATAATCAGATTTTACTATAAAAGTACGTGTCAAACATATTTTAACCTAATTCTTACTTATATGAAGCCTCCCCAAACTCACATGCATCATTATTTAGGATAGATTGCAAGACAAAAAATCTTCAATATTCTTCTATCTAGAACAAAAGATTTTTTTCCTTGCAATCTATTTCATATAATGGTGTTGATGTTGTTGTTGTTGTTGCTGTTGTATATTTCCTCATTTGATAGATTGCAAGTGTCGAAAATCATTCTTGCTTCAAGTTAAACAAAAAAGGGAGCTCAACCTTTGAAAAACAAATAAAGAATGGAGTTTAACCTTTCAGAAGATGGATATCAGCGAAAAATAAAGATTCTCATGGGGAAACAGATCTCTAGCATCTTGCATAAAACCTGAACAATCTTGGGGAGAACTAAATCTTGATATCAGCGAAGATTTATTCCATACAATATATTTTTAATAATTTAGATAACCTATGTACTTTGTTAACAAATTAATTTTTTAATATTCTAGATAAACAATGTAACGATTTTTGTTTTAAAAAAATTTAATCTTACCCATCGGTTTTCTTTCAAAACCGAGAGGTAAGAAAAGCTAATACTTTAATGAAAAAACTTATTCACCTCAGCTTTTTGACGAAACCGAGGGGATATTTAAGCATTTTTTTACTATATTCACCGATCTTAAACAAATCATAGCCGTCTATTTAATGGTTATCAATGTTCAAGACTCTTTCTTTAGTGATCCGCATAAAACGTAAGGGGCATCTATTATAAAAATATGTTGAATATTGAAAATCTAACCTTAATGAATCATGTTGCGCTTGAAACCCTTATTTTTTTTTGTGAGCAGAAACTTATTTGGTTTAAGGTTTGTTTTTTGTAAGTATTATTTTGAGTAAAAAGTCATTTATTTATCTAACCCTTATTTATCTAACATTTTTTTTGTTTTATATCAGAGAAAAATGCAAGAAAAAATAATTTTTCATGTAATAATCTCTGTAAACAAAGTAATATTAATGATAAACAATGTACTTTGTAAACAAATTAACGTATTAATATTCTAGGTAAATAATATAATGATTTAAAAAAAAATTAATCTGACCCCTCGATTTTATTTTTAAATCGAGATATAAGATAAGTTAATTTTGAAATTAATAAAAATGCAGCTACTGGGATTCAAACCCATGTGCGTATAACTTTACCTCTCGATTATTATTCCACCGAGGTGATAAGTGGCGACTTATCATGACGATCTTCGCTATCTCGCTTTAGCAGAGGTAAATATTTCTTGTCTGAGGCTAAATGCGCTTTTTGTAGTAGTAGACCTTGAAGGAAAACCCGAGTTTGATTTTCTTATTTGAAACCCCCAAAAAATTCTCTACCTAATCGATTACAACGAATCCTAATTGGACGTTATCAAACTATATCTAGATGGCATCCAACAAAGAATGGTTATGTGCAATTTGTTGGATGTATGCATAGAGAGGATGGAGATGATGAGTAATATTTTGTATGTTTGTGGTTTCGTATTGTTTAGAATGATACATGAATGTGTGTGTGTGTGTGAAAATAAAACAAAAAATCAGGTTGCAAAAATTACAAAATATAACATTTGGATCAGTGGGAATCAACTCCAAAGAAAAAGGGAGTCGAGCAATACAGTATAGGAATCGTCTTCAATTGGACATAAATGATTTTTTCATCTTTCAACTTTGTTGGAGACTGGTGTTTTCTTCAGCTTTGTTGATTTTGTTGTGGTTAAGTTTGGTATCTCTTATAACTTTATCGGTTCTTTTGTTTCGAGTAACTTGAACGCTAATATATATATATATATATATATATATATATATATATATATATATATATATATATATATATATATATATATATATATATATATATATATATATATATAAACGGCTAAAAATATAAGTTTGGAGACTGGTGTTTTCTTCGGCTTTGTTGATTTTGTCTGTCCATTTTCTTTAATGCGTAAACGGATAAAAATATAAAGGATATTTTGTGTGTTAACTTTTATTTTAATTTTAATTATTTATAAAACAATAAAAAATAATAGAATTAAAGAGATATGCAACTTGTCATATAACAGTTGATAAATGAGATGTTGAAGTTAAAAACAAAAAGTGAAAGAGTATAATTGAAACAGAAATAGACTACACCAAAATCATATTTTTGCTTTATAAAAGAATTGAATTAAATACTCTCCATCATAAAATATAAACATTTTTCTAACATTTCACTTTTATTAATAAAAAAACTTGATAATCTAATTCATATTTCGATTATTATTCAATTAATTATTAATTGTCCCCGTTACTATTTCATATTTTTACCATTCATCAGAGTAAGATATCGATCTAATGTTATTCAATCTAAATTTATCAATACTGAATATTATGAAACAAATCACTACAGTCAGTATTGTTATTTATCATCTGAATGATGAGAGCATAATTAAGGAAACAAATCCAATATTACAATATTGATGAGACACTTTGCCATACCCTTATTTTCATTTTGCATTGTTAGAGGGACTAATTAATCCTCAACATTGGAGAAATCCTCCTTGTTCTTGTTTCTGGAAGACCAATGAATAATTCAGTTTCAACATCTGAACTTGGACTACTTTGATCTGCATAAGCTTCAACATCAGCTATATTTTCTCTGTCATCTTTTTTTGCCTGCTGTGATGAATAACTATCATACTGCACACAAATATAGATTTTCAGTATTCCTAACAGAAATATATATCCTTTTTCAAATGGCGAAATTTCTGAGTAATTTGGGGGGAATTAATTCCAGATAGAAAGTGAATTCACCTTCTCAGAAAGCATGACATTTTCAGCAATTAGGGTTTTTTCCTGAATTGTATTAAAAACAGCTTAGTTAGAATCTTACATTTTCCGTTAAAAATAAAATCAGTTGTAAACATCAACAGCTTTTTAATCTGATCAATTTGTAAATATGTAGAGAACTTACCTTTTCTTTAAGCTGATCAATTTGCTCCCTGAAAACCTGAATCTGAAAAATAAACAGTTTAGATGTATAAATATCTATTAATTTTGAAATTTGGAATACCTTTTGATTATGCTTACCTTTTTTGCTCGAATTTTGGTTATACTATTCTCTAACTGTTGCTCTATCTTTTGTAGTTCTTCAATGGAACAAGTCCCTATACCTTCTCCTAAGAGTTTACTGCAAACGGAAAACGCGACATGTTTTCATCTTAGACATTGAATATTGTAAAAATATTTGTCAGTAAATATAAATTCGAGATGTTTAACCGTTTTGAAGTCTCGAGAAGATCAATCTTTTTCATCATGTTTTCTGCTTCTTCCTTCAAATGCTGTAATATACATAATGCAATTTCATTCGGTATATAGAACATAGAATATATATTCTATATTGTAATAAAAAATGAATATAGCAAATGAATAAAACATCAAAGTAAGCTTTGCCTAAAAGAAAAAGACAAATAAGCCCTAATAAATCAATACCTGAAATTCATGCCCTAGTAAATCAATACCTTAAATTAAGATGTATATGAAATAAAGTTAACCTGAGTATATTCAGAAGATTCAGATGTTGTTGGAGTATTATTAATCCTGGTATGACTGCGGTATCGTTCAATTGTTTCTAAAACGCTGTTACAATAAATCTATAATTAAGCATTTGCTAATTGGTGAGAAAATGAGAAAACATAGCAATTTTGTAAAATGAAATATCAATAGAATAAGTAAAATGAAGAGAAAATTGAAAAGTCGAAAACATACTCATTGCCGTTATTTAATTTAATATAGACATAGAGAATAAAATTTTCTGTAATTTATAGATAGAAATGTTTAATGCCCTAATCTATTTATAATATATTAAAATAGAGTCTCAACCATTTTTCTTACAACTCTGCTCCACTAATACCACTTAAACATAATCCTTCCACATAATAAAATATCCAACGAGTCATAGCCCTCCTTTATTCTATTTCACTTAAGCTTTCTATTCATTCTTTCTTTCTTATAACAATAAAACCAAATGCAAATTATTAAAAAAAAACTATTTAACTTAATTACATGTAATATCAATGGACAAACCTTTTTAGTGCTATTAATTATAGAATTTATAATATATTAAAATAGAGTCTCAACCATGTTTTTTACAACTCAGCTCCACTAGTGCCACTTAAACATAATCTTTTCATATATTACCTCCGTCTCATAATAAATGTCTTATTTGAGTAGTACATGATTTTTTTAAAAAATGATTGGATGATTGGTTTTAGTGAAAAAGTTAATGTCATTTATTAGAATATCCCTATTAATTATAGTTGATAGAGTAGTTGAATAAATTGAAAGTTAATAAATAGAGGTACAGTAGTGGAAAATAATAATAATTGATGCATTCAAATTGTAAATAAACAATTATTTTGAGACAAAGAAAAAGTACAAATGAAACATCGATGCATTCGAGTTAGCAAAGTTAGTTGTTGTTGTTCTTGGTTTTTTCTTGTTACTGTTGTTGTTCTGGTTCTTGTTGTTATTATTGTTGTTTTTGTTGTTGTTATTGAGCACCATGAAGGGTGAAATATCAAATTTTTTGGTGGAATTGAGCACCATGAGTTCTAAATGAAATATTGAGTAGTTTTCTAAAGATAACAATTTCGAATTGTAGACAGTGAATATGGAAGAAATCTTAACTCAAAATAAGTGTATTGAATCATTGAAGGGTGAAACATCGAAGCATGCAAACATAAAATAAGTAGAGAAGGCCAAGAAGATGGATAAGGCTAGAAGTGCCATTATCTTGTGCCACTGATAAGTGCAAAAGTGTAGTTATTTTGTATATACTTTTTGTTGCACTTATCGACTCTTTGATTGTAATTTCGGTTGAATAACCTAACTTTGTGTATAAATACGTTTAGTTTATGTATAATGCATTTTTTTTGTATAAAGTGTATCATTTGATAATTTTGTATTCCTTTGTAGGTATTTGAGCATTGTTGGAGTAAGAGGAATAAAGCTCCAAGATGCATTTTTGGATTAATAAAGGAATAAGGCGAAAGAATGGAGTCGGAGAAAGTTATGCAGGAAGCAACAGAAGTTGCTGGACTGTCATGGATCGTCGGGCGATAGAAGTCGTCGCGGGTGAAATTTGAAGGCCAAATTTCCATGAAGTCCCTGCCTTGCGTCGCGTCTTGGTTTCCAGGAAAAAATAAGGGGAGTCATCGAACGATGAATTTTGATCTTCGGGCGATGGAAGATATTTGTTTCAGTTGAGGAAGTGGCTTATTCTGGGCCAAGTGTATAGAATTCGTCACCAGACGACGTGAGTTGTGTCGCTGGGCGAACGGTTGCGGATCACAATTTTGTTATATTTTCCTTTTCATTTCATTTGGAGAGTTATGGTTTTGGGGTAGTTTTTGTTCCTAACTCCATCAACTTGTAAATTTTGTTAGGATTAACTTAGAAAACAACTATGGAGGTTGCATACGGATGATTCGGGGTGGATTGCTCTTCGATCAGCGCTGACAAACCGTAGATTTGCGATTCATTTCTCTTCCTCTTTGTGTAATTTTCTATGGTCGGGTTTGTATGTGTATTTTCTTTGATCTAATGTATATTTATCTCCCTTGGCATTATATAATACTTGCTTTATGAATCTTTGTGGATTGTTGTCCTAGATTTTTGCTGTGTTAGAGATTTGAGTTTTTATAGACATATACTGCTTAGGTCTTATCTAGGATGATTAATATGTTAGTTTCTGAACTCTAGAGATAGATTTAGAGCTGACAATCTACTTGGGTATCGGATCTTAAAGCCTCTGTGTGTTTGTGTTGTTTTGAGAGATCGCAGGAGAGCGCAGTTGACTTTAGTGTTTCGAGGTGGTTGAGAGATTGCTACCGAGGTGATGCAGTAGCCGCTCAATTTGGGTTAGAAATGACTTAGGTTGTGAGTGATACGTAGTGACATGATGAGTAATGTTAGGTTGAGTGTAACAGGTCAATAGGTTTAAGTCAGTAAGAAGAAGTATATATGCATACTGATAAGTTCTTCCTTAGTTTTTCCTTTTGTTTACATTCATTTTCTGTTAATAACATTTTCTTTACAAAACCCATTCAACCCCAAACTCATTAAAAATAATTTATCGAACGACGAATCAATAACCAATCTCTGTGGACACGATACGATATAATCTAAATATCACCCGGTAACTTAATAACTTACTTTTTGCTTGCCGCTATAACACAGTAACAACCACGTGGATAAAGTTCTAAGAGAAGTTGCGAAGAGAAGACTGTAGCTTTAATGTGGACAAAAATTGAGTTATTGTATATGATAAATCTTTGTAATAACAATTCTACTCATTTTGAATGGTAGAAAAAAAATCCACATTGGAGAAATTAATAAAAATTTACAAGATCATTGATTATTTGGAGAATATTTAGGTGAAGGTTATAGATACGGATAAGACTATACTTTTATTGAACCTATTATCCATATCCTTGAGCACTTTAAGGATGCTCTTATTTAAGGTAAGGAAGGAACGATATTTTGAATAATAGTGATAGTGGTGATGGCGTAAGTGTCTCAAAATAAGGGAGTTAATACAAAGTGATGTTCAAACCAAAGAGGTTGACAAGTCAAGGTTAAAATGTTTTATTTGTCAAAAACCTGGTCACTTTTAGAGAGATTTTCCCAAGAAGGTGGAAATTAAGTATTCTATTTATAGTGTTGTTATCTTTGGGGATAGTTATGAGAGTGATTATGCACTAGTGGTGTCAAGTTTGAAGATTATAGAGGGTTGGGTCATAGACTCAGGTTGCTTTCATCATATGTATTCAAGAAAAGAATAATTTGAAATTTTAAAGCTAAAGAAAGATTGAACAGTTTACCTTGGTGAAAATAAGACTCACAAAGTTCATGGTATTGGTACCGTAGTACTTAAAATATTGATAATCTAGACTATGAAGTTGCATTTCTATGATACATTAAGAAGGAGACCTCTATGTGGTTTTGTTACTTGTTACTTAAGCTTTCATTTGAAATTATTTTATATTTGAGTCTCCTCTTCAATTGTGCATCTTTAAGGATATACTTTTTATTTCGTGTTTTGGCATGCATACTTCAAAATGCTTGTGTTTGAGTATGAACATTATTCTTTAAGTCACTTAGTAGAGTTTTTCAAACAAGAACTATAATTGAGATTGATTCAAGTCATTCCAAAAGTAGAATATCTAAATACCTTTGAAAACATGAGTTATTGGAAGTGTGATTCGAATCACACATTCCCCGGAGTTGAATAAAACTAGGCAGAAAGGAATCAGGGCTTTGTTACAGCTTGTGAGTCGAATCGCAACTTGTTTTGATTCGAATAGTACACTCTATGAGTCGAATCACAATTTGTGAATGAGTCGAATCACAGACCCTTCTTTAGCCACTGCCAACTTTGAGTTGAACCATGACCAAGCTATGAGTCAAATTATGACTTGTGTGAGTCGAATCATGCATTAGTAATGACTCAAATCATAGAAAATTGTCTCTCTTAAAGTGTAGATTTTGTTCCATATTACTTTGCTAACTTGACTCAAATCACCAATTTTATTGGCTAGAATCAAACATGTTGTTCTTACCCTAGGTGGGATACTGAGTTCGATTCCTAGGGGAACAACACTTGGCTAGTGCCCATACCTCTCGGCACGAACTCTGGAATACTACGGCCCTTTTCCCATAGGAACCAGAGTGCGAAAGCCAAAAAAAAAGAATCAAACATGATTTTTTCACTTCTATTTGTGCTTCATCTCTAGCACGTATAAATCATTTTTAACTCTCAACCTTTTATAATGCTAGAAAATGCATTCTTTAATCAATG